ACTGCGAGTACTCCCTCGGCCCTTTAATCCCAAGGTGTGGTAACCAAGCTCGTAAACCATACGCGTCTTACCAATCGCCCTGTGTGGTAACCCCTCTTGTGATCAGTCGGTTTTGCCGATTGCGAATCGGCCTCGCATGAAGTTCCGATACTGCTGCGCGACTGCGCCAAAGCCTCATGACTTAGCTCTTCCATGGCCCATTCTCCGAGAGAGGGGGGGGCCAGCGGCAGGGGGCGAAGCCCTTGCGGATATTCAATATCACAGTCGTGAGAATCAAGGACCGCCTCCAAGTTCCTGTGGGCAGGAACCCGCGCGAAACTCGGTGGCCCCTCCTCCTCATATAACCTACGCATCTGCCTCCAGACCGCTGCGTGCTTGCAACGCGCATCGCGAGCAGTGGGGCTCCACTGCTGTCCCTCTCTCACGAATTTCAGGTGGTCTGAAAACAATATCGCAGGGTGAGCAGCAACCTCTAGCGCCTTGAGGCCTGCATAGTGCTCCGCTCTGGGCACCGACTGCACCTGGCCAGGTAGAGCCCCAAATATGGCCCGAATCACCATCCCAGAGACGTCTAATTCAACCACAGACCAGCCGCACCTCGTGAGTCCAGGCAGGGGCGAGGCTTAGCCCGATCCGTCAGTGTAGACCTTCCGACCCCACTGGCCCCGCCAACCACCCCACCCAAAGACAGGATCAGCCTCTTCAGGAGGCGACGGAAGAGGCGGCAGGGGCGACAGCCCGAAATTTAAATAGAATTCGCTCGAACCTGACTGACTCGAGTGCTCATCGCGAATCGCAGCTCGTCTCTCGAGGACGTCATCTGGCAACGCTTCAGCTAGGGAGCCCAACATGGCGTCGCAACCGAACCGCTGATGTGCCTCCGACCCTAGCTCCTGTTGGCAAACGAAACAATTAGGCGACCTACGAAGCTGGATGGAGTGGAGGCGCCCTGGGGTCCAAACGCCAGCAGCCCAGAGCGAGCGAAGCCCCCCCCCCCCCCCCTCCGACCCGCATCTGGAATTCAAAGCGCTGCATGCCTCATGGCCCGCCTCCAGCACGACTCACCCTGGCCATTAGGCAAGTGCTGGATGATGCGATCGGTCTGCCACCAGCGTATACCTTCCTCGAGGTGCCGTCGCACGTCGCACGGACAAGCCCGCAGCATGTCTATTCTTATACCAAGGTCAGAGACAAGCACTGTAGGGGAGGCATTCGCCCACCCAACACGAGGCAATGGCGATTGAGCCTCTGGCTCCAGCCCAGGTCACACGGTTCCTGCATCCTAACCTTCACAGCGTTCCATGCCCGATGGAGGCGGCCGAGAGCCACTCGCCTGCCCCACAGGAACGACGCAACACCGACCACAATCGGCACCGACGCTTCAAACATCGGATCAAACCTATCGTCCACTTGGGTCGCAAGGTATAAGGTTAAGCAGGGCTTAGGCTTGGCCCCGCACATTCCACCTGCGAAGGTTCTTAGCTCTCGGATAGCAGTGTCCGAAAGCCCCGACACACCAGCCCCGTGCCCAGCAGCTGGGAGGAGCCCCGTTCCCCAAAGAGTCTTGACAGCCTCGCCTGCGGCGTGCTTCAAGCCCCAAACCTTACGCTTTGTTTGCCATGCTCGTACGTAGCCTAGCTTGTTCCTGCACTCGCAGAACTCTGGACCCATGCATTTCATGGCCTTCTTGGCTCCTATGTCAAGGGTCTCGATGGTACTGGCAAAACGATCTCGGCCCCTAGCCGTGTTGGCGACAAACCCTGACTTGCTGGCTTGCACCACAAGCCCCAGTGGCCTCACATCCTCACAGAAAACGTGGACAGCATTGGCCAACTGTCTGGCCCCGCCCCTTCGACACCCCGCCCTCCTCCGCTCCCCCGACCGATTAAAACTCACATCATCGATCAGGTCACGTGGATTGACCGACGGGCAAAGCTCCACGGTATTCTGGAGGCTCCTAAAAAGAAGACACTTGAGCAGTGGTTGCCACGCTGCACCCTGCAAGCACACCCTGGTTGGATGGGGCGGGGAACGAGAGGGGGGCAAAGGCTCTAAGGCTGCGGGGTTGGAGGTAGGCCTGAATGGCCATCCACGCGTTTTTTTTCGCATTGGAAGCCCTACCTCGCGGGCTTCGTCCAATAAGCTCTGCAGCACGACCGTTTCGTAACATTTGAGCATATCTATGAAGACCGTCAAGCTGTCTTCTCCTACCTCGTGCGAAATCTCCGCATCTAAATTCAGAGAGAATGCGCTGTCCGACGAGGACCTGCCAGCTCCTGCTTCCCAGAAGCACTCCAGATCATGAGAGAGCTCCCAAAGAGCCGCTATGGGCCGTCTGGCCCTGCCCCAGACCCGAAGAAGGGTGTTGAGGAGGGCGATCAAGCGGCAAACCCCTGACGGTTTGGGGGGCCTTATGAGCTGGGTCAGAATCCTACTGGACGGTCAGAACAAGAGATTTTCACAGCTCAGAAAACGCTGAGCCAACACTTCCACACCGACGTCGCTGAGGAAAAGCAAGCTCCTGGGTGCGAAACTGAACTGGCCGATGCCAGTGGCCCAGGGGAACTGCAGAATCGCTGTTTTCAAATCGACAACCCCGAGCGACGGAAGCCCGCGCCAGTCGGCCGCGTCGGATGGCAACTTCGGCGCTGGAGCATCGTGCATCGACCAAATCGTGTCCCACTGCCTCGTCGCCTTGTCAGCGAGCACGTGTGGCTGCGCAGTAGTTCTCGCCGACAGGTTCGCATCCACCACCTCTTGCAAGGCTTCCCCCCTCGCGTGACGGTGTGCGAATCTGGCACCATGCTTAAACGAGTTGGTCGCCCAGGCTCGCCAGGCTGCAGCTGACTTCTCCGAATGCTTGTCCACTAGCGCAGCGGCCTTGGCTGCAATGGCATCCAACCACGCGTCGGAGTCAGCCATGGGGACATCTATACCAAGCAAGCAAACTTCCGAGGCCCTCGGCTCAAGATCGGCCAGGACCTGATGTTCCTTCAAAATCTTAGAAAAGAACTTACCTAGCTCGATCATGTGTTTCGCTAGCTTTCGATGAGGCGAATCTTCAGCCATGCCAGCCTTCTGCTGGTGGCTGATCAACACGGTGAGGTTGAGAACCGCCTCCTTTGACCTACTCATGTGTCTGGCCCATCTGGCCGCTATATTCCACGAGCGACCGGCTTGTGACATGTACTCTCGCTTCACTTGAGGCTGCCACTGGATCTTAGTCAAGACAAACCTTACAGGGCCTCCAGCACCTCGATAGGCTTCGCCTCTGGCTCCGACCAGGTCGTGCCCCCCAAGCAGCTCTAGTTCGGTATGATGCAAGACCGCGTCCCATGCCGTCTGCAACTCTGCGTTTCTGCTGGCCGAAGACACGAGGGCCCTGACTCCCTCCCATCTCAACGGGTACCGAGGGCACCCAGGAGGGGGCTGCTTCGGCACGGACCTGGGACCATGCAAATCCCTTCGAACAAACTGGAGGTCTCGGCCTGCCAAAGGGAGGGCTACTGGCAAATGTGGAACGGTGGCCGTCGCTTCCTGCACTGCTGGCTGGCCCGCTCGGGTCATTAAATTTGCCGAGGTGAGGCAGAAATCTACACGGCGGCCTTGCAGGCTCTGGCGACAGGTCGCCGCCGCAGGCGCCCGCGGCATGCCTCCCAGGCCGTGCAGCCAGGACAGGTCACCCATCTCCGAAGGCTCCACGTTGAAGTCGCCCACCACAATCCAGTCGTACCCCGCGTAGTTGAGGCGCTCGGCGTAGCTGCTGACCTCTTGCATCACATAGATATTGTTGTCTGACCATCCTTCGTTCACGTACGAGTACATTGTGATGAGCATCAGACCACCAGGTACCCCCCAGTGCACCTGAGCTGGGAGCGCTCTGCCATCCGCCAGCGATCCCGCAGTCATGAATTGGGCTCGCGTCATCATCGCCGTCGGCCTCGCCAGAATCGCCAGCCCTGACTGTGTCCCGCCAGCGTTGCCTGGCTCTTTAGCATCTGGCCAGACACCCTGTCAGCCCAAACCGCCAACCCTGGCCTGGGCGTCGGCCAGAAGCGTGGCCGATATGTGGTGCTCCTGCAACATGACCACTGTGTGCATGCATCCAAGTAGGAGCTCCGCCATCTGCTTTTCCGTCGAGCAATTGAGGGTGACGATTGTGCCCTTCTCCTTCTCGCCGAAGTTGTTGTCCTCAGCTCGTTGCCCACGCGCCGATGCCGTAGCGCTCGACGGCGGCAACGCCGGGCCCTCGCCCCTCGCTGTGTCGACCCTCCGGGGGGGCTGGGGCCGCAACGGCCTCGCTGCTCGGGCTGCCGCGCCCGTCGACGTCGCGAGCAGGAGGAGCGGGCGGGGCGGGGCATCGGCCGCCCGCGCGTCCGCGGCCCGTCTCTCCCATCCGCTGCCGCGGCCCTTGCCCCCCCCCCCCCCCCCCCCCTTGGGGTCGCCCCTTCTATGAGACTCCGCTCGAGGAAGGCTCGCGGGCGAAGCGCCCGCTCCACCCAGCCCAGCGATGCCGTAGCGCGCGCAGACGCCGCCAGGCCGCCGCCACTCACCGCGGCGGCCCTCGGGTAAGCTGGGGCCGCGGCTGCCTAGCTGCTCGGGCTGCCACGTCCGTCGACGTCGCGAGCAGGAGGTGCGGGCAGGGCCGAGGCATCGGCCCTGCCCGCGCGTCCGCGGCTCGTCTCTCCCGCCCGCTGCCGCGGCCCGGTGCCGCCCCCGTGGGCCCGCTGCGGCTGCCGCCAGCGCGCGCCGCACTCGTCGCCTTCACTGGGTCCGCTGGCTCCCAAGGCGCAAATCGCGGGCTGGCATCAATCGTGCCAGCCACCGTTCCAATTGAGGGCATGCCACTCGCAACCTCCATCATACTGCTGAGCCAGATCAAGAGCACGCAGATTCTATTGCTCCAGCTTAGCCCTCTCCTCCGACCTCCATCCAGAGATGACACCCTGAAAGGTACGGATCCTGCCATGTACTTCTGCTTCGTCTGCGTTCCCATTGACCTCGATGCCCACCTTGCCCAGGAACTCCCGAAGCTCGCCGATGTCCCCGTCATCGGGGCAAGGTGTGTCCACGCCCGATATGTTGGACTTGGCCTCGGGCTCATCCGCCGCGTAAGGAACTTCGGCCCTCTGGCCACTCCCTGGAACTCGGCCACTCTGCTCAGCTGCAGCACGGGCTGCCTCCTGCTCCGCGGTCTTCTTGCCCTCCTCCAGCGCCCGAACCCGAGCTTCGCGGTGAGCGTGCCGTCGTCGCCGAGCCCTTGGAGGAAGGAGCCCAACTTGCCGACGCTGATGGCCAACGCCTCCACCCTCTCATCCACCGCGTTGGCCTCAGGAGGCCTGGGAACGGACGCCGCCAGGCGTGCTTGCTCCTCGTTGATCTGCAGGATGGCCCTGTCGGTCTCTGCCACCAGCTCCTCCTGCACGCGGATCGCCTCCTCGGCCATCTCCAGCTCAACTTTGGCACTGGCCAGGAGGTCCTCATGCTTGGTCCGCTTCAGCTGTAGCTTGCGCGCTTGGAACGCCAGCGAACGCAGCTGTGCGGGGGCGGGCTCGGCCGCCCCCAGCTCACTCCGCAGCTTCCTTCTCTCTGTCTCCAGCGACTCTCGCGCCTGCACGGAGCGCGAGTCCTTGAGATTGGCAGTGGCCCTGAGCGAGCTGTCAATCTCCTCTGGCCTCGCGCGCATCTGCAGACTGGAAGGTTGAGCTGTGCTTCACCTGCGTCGACCTACATTTGATCCTGCTGTCCCTTGGCAGTGATATGGCCCCGCATCTGCTCCAACTGCAACTCCAACTGCCGAATCCGATCTTCGCGCCATGGCGCTGCACTTGGGGGGCCTGCTCCCCCTGGCGCGCCTGGCCCTCTCTTGGAAGGCGCCGCAGGCTTGGGCCGAACATGAGCGAACGACGATGCCTTGGCGACTCCACATTTCTTACAACTGTCTGCCCTTGCTCTGTTCCACCAAGCCTCACCTGAGGCTGGGTGCTTACACCGCTGACAGCACCAATCCACCGCTGCCGCGCGACGCCGCTGGGCGTGTCTACTCGGCTTCTTCGAGGCATCAGGATGTGTCATCTGCCCGCAGGCGCAAGAGCGGGAAAGAATGTGCTGCGTCGCCTGGCGGCTCACGCAGCGGTGCGAAGAGAACTCGGAAGTCTAGCCGCGGACTAGCGGCATCCACTTGTTTCACAGGGGAACTCAAGACATTGAACCAAACTGGCTACGGACGGAGGAGGAGGAGGAGGAGGAGGAGGAGGAACTGAGGAACTGATGAAGAGAAGGCGTCTGCTCACAGACACCACTCTAAGGAATTTGAAACCCCAGACCATCAGTCACCCCGTGAGAGACTGCCCAGTCTTGGGGTGCCTGCCTCTCTGGAGAGCACTGAGGACTGACCTCCTGCTCTTGGGCAAGTCCTTGGGGTCAGGGCAGGGGGGGCTGAAGGCCTTCCCCACCCTGGCGGACCCGTAGGCCCCGCACCGCCGACACCAGACGACCGTGCCCGTGGCGGCAACGTCGCGTCCCCCAGGCGCGTGACACCAATCCGCCACCGCAGGCCCCCCAGAGCCCGCGGCACACCCAAAAGGGGCCCCAGCCTCGCCCTCGCGGGCAGGCACGGGCCCCACGCGCACGGCCTCCTCAGAAGCCAAAGACGCCGAGCCCCCAGACTCAGCCCCAACGGAAGCCCCAGCCGAGCCCCCAGCCACATCAGACCGAAGCCCAGCAGCAGCAGGAGCGGACCCAGCCGAGGCCCCAACCTCGCGGGCACCCCCAGGGCCACCAGACGCCCCCCCCCCACCGACCCCCAGCGGGCCGTCGGCGGCCTCGCGGCGGCACTGGCGGCAGCCTCGATCAGATTTGCCTGCGTGCGAGAAATCGTAGAAAACACGCACCGACGATCCGTGCCTCCCGCCAGTTCCCGGCGAGCCTCGGCGGTCTTCGCAGTGCGACGGCAACGACGACACATGAGCCCCCCTCGAATCTCAATGAGGTCATGCTCGTGTATTAGCAGCACCATTCTGGCCCCATCCGCCTCGGGCGCCCTGCTCGGGGCGGCCGACAGGACAGCCTTCTCAGCCCACAGATCGAGCTGACAGCTTCTCTGGACCGCCCACGACAAATACTTGGAATACTGGGCAGCCTCTGTCAGCGAGGCCTGATAGAACCTAGCATGGGCCTCTGGGAGATTGACCGAGAGGGCTCCCAGCTTAGCGAACAAGTCGGCCCAACTATTCCCCACAACCCAGAGGTAGGGAGGAGGCGGAGGGTCCTCAGGAGCGAGGAAGAGAACCTCATCCTCGGTCCTGTGGGACGGGACCCATGCAAAGGCTGGCGGCGTTCTTTTCAGCGCCACCAGCTTGCGCCACACTGCAGGGTATGCACGGCTAGCATCAGTCAGGACCTCCGTCTCTCCTTGGCCCCAAAGCTTGCCTTCCTGCACACATTCCAGCAGGTCAGAAATCACGCACTGGACCGAAGGCATGTGCTGCAGGGCCTTGAGGCCCGCAACACGCTCTGCACGGCCCACTGTCTGCTGCGCGCCTGCGAGCCCGCCATGCAGCGCACGAGTGGGGACTCCATTGGCATTCAGCATGACAGCGGACCATGCGCACCGACGGAGCTCAGGATACTCATTGTGGTATCCCGAGCCATCAGTGAAAACCCAATCACTCGACTGTTCGGGATCCGACTCCCAATCTCCCCAGAAGAAACAAGGAGGCGACTCAGGCGGCGGCGGCACTTCAACCTTGGGCCACCTGGGGATCCCGACAGAGAGGGCAAACGAATCTACATCCTGGCGGCCCTCTCCGATCGGCCCATGCTCCAACATGGCGTCGCGAGCTGAGGCCAACTTGGGATCGAGACCACAATCCTCCTCATCGTCCAACAGGCGCTGCGTCAACGCTGGGCATTCAACGAAACAATGGCCAAGCGTCTCGGCCTCGTGCTGGCACGTTCGACACTTCTGATCATCGCACATACCTTTGCTAAACAACTTAGCTTTTGGCCAACGAGAGCCAGACCAAAGGCTGCGCAGAGCTCCGACCCTCCCCGCCCCAGTCACCGTCGCCCCCCTCCCGCCCACGCACGCTCGCAGGCCTCGCGGCCGTAGAGGCGCGGCCGCATCATGGTGAGAGGCAACCTGGCACATCTGCCAACGCTGAATCCCCTGCCTCAGGAGATCGCGAAAAAAGCGAGGCGACGTGGCCAGGAGCGAAATCACTGGCCCCACATCAGGCTGGATCAGCACCGGCGACAGCATCGCCCAGCCAATCCGCTTGAGCGACAGGACGGCCACCTTGAGCGGCCCGCGTGCCGAGGCCCACGTCAGCTTGTCCTCGCCCGCCTCGACCCTGTCCAGCGTCGCGTGACAGGCCTTCTCCAGCGCACTCATGGACACCGCCTGCCTCCACACGACCGCAGCGTAGTGCATGAGCGGCTCGACAGTCGCCGCGACGACTGGGTCGTACCACGGATTCCTCTCGCTGGCCAGGTAGAGCGCGTTGCTGCCACCTCCTCGGCCCTTGGCCCCAGCAAGTCGGGCCGCCTCCGAGCGCAGCGCGGCCAGCTCGGAGGGGGCCACGCCGCTCACCGCCGCCCCGTGGGCGGCCGCAGGCAGCATGCCTGTCTGCCACAGGCGCGCCGCACGCCCTCCAGCAGCACGTCGTAGCCTCGCCGCGCGCCTCAGCCGCGGCCTCACGTTCTTGAGTCTGGTCTTGAAGACCTTCCTGCAGGCCTTGGTCCCATTCAGGTCGTGGCCCAGGTTCCTCGCGTGCGGCTGCGAGCCCATCCTGAGCCGCCTGGCATACTGCACCGCTGCATCACGGCTCTGCCTGGACGTCGCCACGTGGCCCGGCTTGAGCTCCTGCAACACGAGGCCCACGTCCCCGACCTCGTGCTTGAAGCGCTTGACGGCCTGCCACAGGACGCGCGCGCCACGCAGGTCCGTGCCGATCCACTGTGCTGAGGTGTCGTCGGCGAGCGTGCGCGGGATCACGTCATTCGTCGTCGGCCGCCTCAAGGCCCGCGCCGTCGCCACCACCAGCACCGCCATCGAGTGGGAGCAGTCCGCCAGGATGCCCTGGTGCGCCGTGAAACTCTTCGACATCGAGCCGAACGCCTTGATGCGCCTAGGCAGGTGGTGGTACTTGAGGATGGCCCACATGAGGCGGAGCGGAAACTCCATGGCCCGAGCCTCGTCCAGCAGCCTGCCTCCAATCAAGCTGTCGAACGCCTTCCACGCATCCAGGAGCACCGTGACGCTGTGCCCTCCATTGATGTTCATGATCTCAGCCGTCAGGTTGTGGTGGAACGCTGCTGCCGTCGAGGTCCTGCCAGCTCCACCAGTGCCCCAGAGATTGGGCACGTCCGCCTGGTCGAGCCAGGCACGCGAAATCGTCGAACGCGCCTTCGTCCACAGACGGAGGAAGGAGTTCACAAGGGCAATCAGCCTGCATCCTCCGCTCGCCTTGGGCAGGCGCACCAACACTGTGTACGCTCTGTCCGTCGGCCACACCCCCAGCTTCTCGCATTGGCTGAAGAGCGCCGACAGCACGTAAAGGCCGATGTCGCTGAGGTGCCAGAGGGCCCGCGGGGCAATGCCCGTCTGGCCCACCGCGGTGCGCTCTTTGAAACACAGCGCTGCACGTCGGAGGTGACCGACGCTCATCCGCGGGAGCTCGGCCCAGTCATCAAAGTCAGGAGGCTTCTCCAGGGCGCCCTGCTGATGTGCGGTCCACGCGCCCCTCCATCCGTCGAGCTCGCGGTCAGCCAGCTGGCGCGGGCTGGCCCGCGTAGTGGCCCCACAGACTTCAGCCTCAGGAGGTAGCCTCGTGAAGCGGTGTGCAGCACTCGCCCCGCCTGTGAGGCTCTTGGCCGCCCACGCACGCCACTCCTTCTCACGCTCCCCATTGTGGCGCCTGGTGTGCCGCTCGGCCACCGCCGCGATCTTCTCGACCTTGGCGGCCCACGTCCCCTTGCTCATCTGGGCCACGCCGCCCAAGAGCCGCTGTGCGACGTCCTCAGAGAGCTGGCCAAACACGCGCTGCGACTTCGCCACGTTGCCGTAGTAGCGGTGGGTCTCGAGGATGAGGTCCACGGCCCGCTCGACGCGGTCGTCCCGGTCGCACCCCAGCAACTTGACCAAGCGAGTGCGGGCCGCGTCCAGATGCCGAGCCCACCGCGCCGCCACCATGTGGGCGCTGACCTTCGGGTCGTACGGCTTCCTCCGTCGCGGCGGCTGCCGCGTCGGCTGGGCCAGCTTGAAGACAGGCTCGCCCGTCCTGCCAGTGCGTTGCCGCCTCTCAGCCCCCACGAGGTACCAGCGGCTGCAGAGCTCGGCCTCCGCCATGCCGGCGACAGCGCCCCGCGCCTGCGCCAGGGGCCCAGGCTCCTCCGCCGCGAGGACCTGCTGCAGCGCCGCCCGCCACCCTCGGTCATGAGGGAAAGGCGCCGCGCCCGCTGGCGGCACCGCGGTGGAACCCCCGCGGCTCGACGGCGACCCTGACAACGGACTCGCGGTCGACCGTGGCCAGGTTCACGTGCGCGGGGACGCGTGGGTGCAGCGCCGCATCCGTCGTGACCCAAGCCTCGCCTAGCCTCGGGTCCAGGTTCGGCGCCGCGATGAGGTAGTCCAGGCAGGGGCCCTCCACCGTCTGCCAGGAAGTCGGCCCTGTGGGGGCGATCGGGACGCCCCGCACCTGCTCGAGCCATGGTCCCTTCAGCTCGTCCAGCTCCATGTTCCAGTCGCCCGTGGCGACCCAGTCCAGCCCGCGTGCGTTGAGCACCCTGAGGTAGCGCTGCAGCTCGTGGACCGTGTCCGAGTTGTCGTCGTCCATGCCTACGGAGTGCCTCAAATAGACCACAACGACGATGGGTCCGCCCTTCACGCCCCAGTGCACGTGGCCCGCCAACACGCGCGCCTCCTCCAGGACGTGGGAGGGCGTGAAGGGCGGCGCCGTCACGGGGATGACGTTGCGCGTGAGGAGCGCGACGCCGCTCGAGACGTCCAGCGGGCCACGGCCTGTTGCCACGCCTGGGGCCCACAGACCATGGAATCCCAAGTCCTTCACCTGGCCCTGCAGGGAGCACAACTTGTCGCCCAAGACACGATGCTCCTGCACGCCGAAGATGTCACCTTTCGGGTCGTCCGCGAGGTACTCGGTCAGCCCTCGCGCACATGAAACGTTGACCGTGGTCAACACACCTTTGACAGTATCCGCACTGCCACCGTACTTTGTATTACCAGAAACTCCCATCACCATGCTGAGCAAGGTATTCCAGCACAACCAACTCCTCGGCCCCCGACGCCTAGTAGGCACGATAGGCCCACGCACTGGCAGCTGCGGCGATCTGGTGCGCCTTGGCCCTGATCTCCGCCTCATCGGTGGGGGCCTGGACTCCTGCGGCCGCGATGCTGTCACGCAGCTGCTCGAGTGGCGCCTTGTCAGCCACCGTGCGCAGCCTCTTGGCGTCGGGCGGTGCCGCCGCCACGCCACCAGGATCCACGTCACCAGCATGACGCACTCGCGTCGCAGCCCTAGGGCCGAAAGACGCCGCGATCTTGGGGTGGGCCAGGAACTCCTCGGTGACCTCGCCCGACGCCCCCAGTTCCTTGAGCAGGTCGGCCAAGCCATCAAGGTGTGGCGCCCCACCTGGGACCCCCACGGACTCCTTCGCGTCTGGAGGCCTGGGCACCTGGGCACTGAGCGCCCGCAACTGCTCCTCCAGCTCGGCCGCGTCAGCACGCAACTTGGTGCCCTTCTCGCGCTCGGCCTCCAGCGCAGCCTGCGCCGCGGTGACCGCCTCCTGCGCCTTGGCCACCGCCGCGTCCTGCTTGCTGATGGCGTCCTGCTTGGACTTGAGCTTCTTCTGGAGAGTGAGCAGCTGCGCCACCACGGGCTTCTTGGCACGCACCTGCTCTGCCAAGACCTGCCGCTGGGCCGCAATCCGCTCGATCGTGTCGAGCATGTCTTTCCCTGGGCCGGAGAGACCACGCAGCGCACGTAGCTGGCCGTCAAGATGTTCGATTTTGCGCTGCTCGTCACCTCCCTCTGCGCCCTCCTCAGCTTCAGCGCCGCTGGGCGCCTCCGCCACGGGGCCCTTCTTGCCCTCCGCCCGCAAGGTCTTGAGCTCCTCTCGCAGCCTGGTGAGCTCCCTCTGCATGGCGAGGTGCTGCCCAGCGGCGCCTGCGCCACCACCAGCACCTGTGGTGCCACTGTGGCCACGGCGAAGCCCCTCCTCCCCTCGGACATGGCCCAGGAAGGTGCGGTCCTTGGCGCCGCCGCAGAAGTGGCAGAGCTGCTTGGAGCCGAATGTGATGCATGGCATCACATTCGGCTCGCGACTGGGCATGGCATCCTGGGCCCGCGCTCATACTTGCAGAAACGGCAGTGCCAGTCAGGCTTGGCCTCGCCGCCGCCACCGCCGCGGCCTCCAAGCGCCATGGTCCCTCGCCTGCTCTGGAGAGCAACGAGGCCAGCCACAGGGCCAGGAGAGACGGAAGCAAAACTGTCGGGCAGAAGCGCCCTGGCACTGGCCGCGGACTAGCGGTATCCACTTGTTCCCCTGTGGAACAGAGCATCTTGAGCCAAAATGGATACGGAGAGGAGGAGGAGGAGGAGGAGGAGGAGGAGGAGGAGGAGGAGGAGGAGGAGGAGGAGGAGGAGGAGGAGGGAGAGTAGGAGGAGGAGGAGGAGGAGGAGGAGGAGGAGAGGAAGAGAGGAGGAGGAGGAGGAGGAGGAGGAGGAGGAAGAGGAGACAAGTGGCAGCAGCAGGCAGGCAGGCACGAGCAGAGCGCCGCTGGCCCGCCCTATCCCCTGGCGAGCCTCGTCGCTGGCCAGCGGCGCCAAGACCGGCCGTGCGGCCCAGGGCTGCCGCGGCGGCCCCCGTGGTTCCTTGGCGCGCGAGGGGGGGCGGGCAGGCCCAGGGAGGTGGAGGGGGGTGGGCTCTTGGGCAGAGGAGGGGGTGGGGATAGGATCCGGGGCAGGGTGGGGATTTTTGCTTATAGTGCTAGGGGCGGGGGGATCAAACTCGGAGGGGGGATCGGCTCAGGAGGGGGAAATGTGTGTGCTCAGGGGGAGGGGGAGGACGGCTTCGGGGGGAGATTCGTCCATAGGCCCCCCTCCTCCCCCTCCCCCCCCCCCCCCCCTCCCCTCCTCCTCCTTCCTCCCCTCCTACTCCTTCCTCTCCTCCTCCTCCTCCTTCCTCCTCCTCCTTCCTCCTCCTCCTCTCTCCTCCGTCCTCCTCGTCCTCCTCGCTCCTCCTCGTCCTCCTCGGTCGTCCTCCTCCTCGTCCCTCTCGTCCTCGTCCTCCTCCTCCTCCTCACTCCTCTCCTCCCTCCTCCCTCCTCCTCCTCCTCCTCCTCTCCTCCCCCTCCCCCTCCCCCTCCCCCTCCTCCTCCTCCTCCCTCCCTCCCTCCTCCTCCTTCCTCCTGCTCCCTCTGCTCCTCCTCATCCTCCTCCTCCTCCCCTCCTCTCCTCCTCCTCCTCCTCCTCCTCCTCCTCCTCCTCCTCCTCCCCTTCCCCTCTCCCTCCCCGTCCTCCTCCTCCGCAATGTTACCAGGTTGCCAGATGAGCGGAGCGTCGTATAACAGCACGACGCCCAGCAACGCAATGATAGGGTCCCGAACTGGCAACTTCGGGCTTTCACCGCCGACCAGGGGTGCACGAGACAGTCCGCAGGTCAGCGGTCGAAAGGCCGAGGCGGCCAACCGAAGTGAGACCCCCCTCCCTTTATTACGAAATCTGGACTACCCATGATATGTTGGAGCGCCCCTGCCTCGACCCTGCGCCTGGGCACGCAGCAGGCAGTCGACCTCGGGGAGAGGGACAGGGTTGCTCAAACGGCAACCCACTCCTAGGAGGGCCCTCGGTTCAGCTTGCGGGATTCAGAAGACGCTTTGCCGAGGCAGGGGGTCAGGAGTTTGTGCCCATCCCCCGCTCGGCAAGGAAGAAATCCACCACAGGCAAAGCAGAAACAGACAGGGAGGAAGCTATCTTCAGCCCGAGCTAAATGCAGCTTGTGCCCCTTGCGTGGCTGTCGCAGGAGGCTGGCGATAGCTGGGTTCATGCCAGGGCAGGATTTGGTCTTGTTCGATGTTGCCAAGCTCTTGAAACAGATCTTTCATCGGTTCTTCCATGGAAAAGCGATCTCGTGCTGGTCCTGAATCGTTGAGCGGGCTTCTTTCGAAGGGATCGACAGACGAGCGAGAGCTCCGAGGTCAGCGAACGAGGGCCACGACCCTACGGTCTTGGACGCACCGAGGGCGAGAGCCTTATACATATCAATAGTGTGCTTTGCCCTGGTGGCACTATCATCGGAAACATTATGACTCCTAGCCGCCTGACCTGCATGATAAGCAGCTAAGCGATTCCCTCTACAATTGATCACAGCTTCGCGGTCCTCGCAGTCCGCTTCATCTAGGTGGGCCTTTACTTGAACATGTTGCTCACGGGCTCCTTGGAAAAAATATCCCAGTGCGACCCTACATAGGAGTTGGAGCCCCCAGGAAAGCAGCTAAAGCTAAGCTAAAGCTAAAGCTAAAGCTAACGCTAAGCTAAGCTAAGCTCACGGTAAGCTAAAGCTAAGATGAAGCTAAGCTAAAGCTAAGCTAAAGCTAAGCTAAGGCTAAGCTAAGGCTAAGCTAAAGCTAAGATAATCCTGAGCTAAAACTAAGGTGCAGTTAAGCTAAAGCTAAGATAAAGCTAAGCTAAAGCTACGGTAAAGGTTAAGATAAAGCTAATATAAAGCTAAAGCTAAAGCTAAGCTAAGCTAAACTCAAGGTAAGCTAAAGCTAAAGCTAAAGCTAAGCTAAAGCTAAGCTAAAGCTAAGCTAAGGCTAAGCTATGGCTAAGATAAAGCTAATCTAAACCTGAGCTAAAACTAAGGTGCAGGTAAGCTAAAGCTAAGCTAAAGCTAAGCTAAAGCTACGGTAAAGGCTAAGATAAAGCTAAACTAAAGCTGAGCTAAAGCTATGGTAAAGGCTAAGCTACAGCTAAGTTAAAACTAAGCTAAAGCTAAATATACAGCTAAGCTAAATCTAAGGTGCAGCTACGCTAAAGCCAAGCTAAAACTAATATAACGATAAGCTAACGCTAAGGTGCAGCTAAGGTACAGCTAAGCTAAAGCTAACCTAAAGCTAAGCTGAAGCTAAGCTGAAGCTAAGCTAACGCTAAGCTAAAGCTAAGCTAAAGCTAAGCTAAAACTAAAGCTAAGCTAAAGCTAAGCTAAAGCTAAGGTGCCGCTAAGCTAAAGCCAAGCTAAAGCTAAGCTAACGCTAAGCTAAAGCTAAGCTGAAGCTAAGCTGAAGCTGAGCTACAGCTAAGCTGAAGCTAAGCTGAAGCTAAGCTACAGCTAAGCTAAAGCTAAAGCTAAAGCTAAAGTTCTCAGGGGACTGGGGGAACCGCGGGGCGGGGACTGGGGGAACCGCCCGGGGCGCTTTACACTGCCCGGCCCCTTTCAGCTAAGAGAGTAAGAACCCTTCTAGGCAGAGCCTATGTAGGGAAAAACGAACAATGTCACGCCAAATGTGGGCCTGCGGGTTGGCCCTTGGCCCCCGACGCAGCCCAACTCGGGGCTCGGGCAGCCTTCCACAGGGCCGCAATAGAGACACGAATCCTGTTTTCGGCCCTGTTTGCACCATGCCAGCCAGCTATAAGGATGGCTCCATGTTCGGCAGTCCCCGAACTTTGTTCCATGACCTTGGGGATTGCAGTTCTTATACTTCTCAGCGGGTTGCCTTCGGAATCGATCTGTGCAACAGCACAACCTACGCGCGCCAGATGTTCTAGGTGCGGGGTGAGACAAGACCCATCAGAGAACAATTTGCTTCCAGGCGGGAACTCAAACGGGTCAACGGGCTCACCATCGGGGCCAAAGAAGACAACAACCCAACTGTCAAATGGGGGTTCATGGCTTCAGCCGGGACGTGCTATCCAACCTCTACTGAACAGCGGGAATTCTTGTCCTTCGGCTATGGTTTGTTCGACCATCGCCTGAGGGAATGCCTCCTCTTGCAACTTGGCCACTTCTGGGCACGGGCACTCCCATACCCTGTGCCACGCAGTGTCGGTCATACCACACTTGGCACAGTTCGGGGACATGTTAAAACCCCACTTGGCGAGACAGGCGTTGGTTGGCACTGTTCCACAAAAAAAATGTTAAAACCTCATTCTGTCTAGGTAGCTCCAGTCTATTCTCTGAGAGGCTAAAACTTGCCTCGGTATTTCCCGCCCAAGCCCCTGGGCTTCGAGGCCCCTTGTGTCGTTCGGGCTTTTGGCAATAACCCGGAAAACATGGACCTGGATGTAAACATCTTTAAACTGGGCGGTACACTGTTTCTTTACAGTGGCTGGGGAAATCTCGGTCAGGTTCAGTTGGGTTCCTCCTCCTCCTTCCTGTGCGCGGCCCAGGGGTGGGTGGGGGGCTACAGGGCAGAAATTAATACATAGTTTATATATATATATATATATATATATAGATATTCACAATGATATATCTATATATGCACATATATAAAAACATATGCTGTTCATTCCATGCTCAAATTATGAATACATACATGGGTAAACTCATCCTTGCATCTATTAATCAACCCTTTATTTTTATTACATGGTCCGCACGCGGAGTTTGTATTCAAAAAACGGCACCTTAGGGACGTATTGCAATAAGAAGAGGCGCCCGCCATGAGATCCACCCCCCCCAGGCCGTGGCCTCCCTCCTGGCCGCCCCCGAACCCCTGCCCCGAGCCCCGCTCCTCCTCCTCCCTCACGGGGCCCTCCGGCTCTCTTCGCCCCTCCCGCCCTCCTGCTCCTCCTCCACGCGCAGCCCAGGACGAGGAGGATGTCAGGGGAGGAGGAGGAGAAGAAGGAGGAGGAGGAGGATGAGGAGGATAATCTCACCGTTTGCCTCTGGGCTTGGTGGCCCTGGAGGCGAGGGATGACGCGGAGCGGGCGACGCGAGGAGGAGCCACGGGAGTACGAGAGGAGAGCTGGGGGAGACGGGGCCAGGGGGGGGAGAAGCCTCTTGGTGCAGCAAAAAGCCGGTCTGGCCAAGATATTGACGGCCCGCGAAGATGTCCTATGTGTCAAGTCCGCGAACATCTTTACGTTGTGGGATGAGCTATTCAGGGGCTTCCGCCAAAAAGAGATCACTGCAACCCTTCTATTTACGAGCTCCACCATCGTACCTCTCAGCCCGGAGTGGACGTGTCCTCAGGTCCGTTGCCTAATCCCTTAGGCCGCAATCCTCGATCCTCAAGAAGCTTTTACTCGGGGCCCGGGCTCCACATTGGGGGCTCCCCGCGTGCCCGGGGCGTCTTTCCGCATTTCTTTTTCCCTCGGTCCCAGGAGGGCCCCACGACGGGCCAAGAGGTCTACAAGAGGCCCCCAAAACGGTCCAAGAAGGCCCAGAGACGCCCAAAGATCGCTCCACGACGCCCAAGATGCCCCAAACGGCCCAAGAGGCCTCCGAGATAACCCAAGAGCCTTCCCCGAGAGGGCCCCGAGAGGCCAACAACCTTTCATTCTCCGATCGTTCTTCCATGATCGTTGGGGGTCCTCGACACTTCGAGGCCTCCGACGCTCCAAGACGACCCAAGATGCCCCCAGGGACCGCCCCAGGGCGGCTCGCCAAGCCCCCGGGAGGGCCCCGCCACTGCCACAAGAGGATGCCAAAACGGCCCCGAGGTGCGCCCGAGACGGCCGTAGAGGGCCTCCCGGAGCGGGCCCCGCCCGAGCGGACCTCTCGGGAGGCCCCTCGGCCCCGAGATGCCCTCCAGGCCGCCCGAGAGGCTCCCCACAGGGCCCCACGAGGCCCCCGAGAGGCCCCCCGGAATAAGAGGCCCCCAGGAGGCTCCCAGGAGGCCCCCCAACTGGCCCCCAAACTGCCCCCTGGAGCGCTCCGAGGGGACCCCAAGAAGCATCCCTGCGGACTCGGACCCACAATGCAGGCACGGTGGCGGCGTGGGCCGAAGGCCATTCGAGAACGAGGAAGCCACAGAACATGCACGACGAGGGGAGGAGGGGAGGGAGAGGGTCGCCAACACAGCCGAAGCACCCCCTCCTTCTCCTCCTCCTCCCACCTGTCTCCCGCTCCTCCCCCCTGACCTCCGACGTCGTGTTTTTTGTTGCTTGTGTTATTGTTTCAGGGCGACCCCCCGCGGTCTGGACCCGTTCCCTGGAACAAGCTTTTCGACCCGAGTCGTTCTCGAAGGTCCCGCGGCCTGGTGGGAGGGCTCCCCGAGGGCGAATTCGGTCAAACGTCGCCCAAACAAGTAACTATGTTGCACGACGCCAGAAGCTCAGGGCCATCCCCCCGATTCATCCTCTTCCTCCTGATTCTTCTCCTCGTCCGCCTGTGGGACGTCGGTATGTAGACAACCTAGCTCAGGATCGCGACGCATCGCAGAAGCACTGCTCAGCGTCGCCGATGCATCGGCGATGCGGCGCGATCCTCCGACCCCATGCACTCTGGCTTCATCTGGGCGGCCTGGAATCCTCGAACCTAGTCGATCGCCGCAGCTGCAGCCACTGCCGCCGCCGTCGCCGCCGTCGCCGTCAGTCGCCGCCGTCGTAGCCCCGCCGCCGCCGCCGCCGACGACACTGCCGCCGTCGTAGCCTCCTCCCCTGCCTCCGTCGTCGTTGCCGTTCAACGTCGTCCCCAAAGATCCGATGTCTTGATTTTCTCAATGCGGGGTCCCTGGAAGTCACGACCCCCTCCCGGGGACGGGCTTTTCATCCTGAGCCGTATTTGAACGGTCCAGCGGCCCGGCGAGGGCCCCTGTGCAAAAAAAGGCGAAACACCTCCGCCTTGCTTGTGCCAATACGTTGGAAGCCTGGGCCGTCGCCGAACGTCGTCGTCGTCGTCGTCGTCGTTATCGAACGTCGTCGTCGTCATCGGACGCCGTCGTCGGCTTCGTCGTCGTCGAACGTCATCGTCGTCGTCGTCGTCGAACGTCGTCGTCGTCGTCGCTTCCGCCGGGGCCGGCCTTGGCACCCGACGCCGGGGGCGGCCCCAACTGCTGGAGCCCGCCAGCGGCGAGGGCGCGGATGGCACGGATGCCCTCCATGTCGCCGGGGGCCTCGGTCCGTCGAGGGCGCGTCGAGAAGTCGTCGTCGTCGTCGTCGTCGTCGTCGTCGCCGCCGCCGCCGCCGCCGTCGCCGTCGCCGTCGCCGTCGCCGTCGCCGTCGCCGTCGCCGTCGTCGTCGCCGTCGCCGTCGCTGTCGTCGCCGTCGCCGTCGTCGTCGTCGTCGCGTCGTGGTCGTCGTCACCGTCGCCGTCGGCTTCTTCGTCTTCGCCGTCGTCGTAGAGAGGTTATTCCCGCCCACGGCACCCGCAATGCTCGGAACCAATTGGCCCCGTGAGGGGTGCTCTGACGGCCAGGGCACCTCGGGCCAGGGCTGCCTCGGGCCCGGCATGGTGCGCGCACGCGGCACTTGTTTCTTCGCCCGCGGGCCTGCGGGCGCCGTGGGGTCCGCACTGGGAATCGGCAGAACCTGAGCTTAGGTCGGGCGTGTCCTCCGACAGGCGGATTGTGGACGAAAAATAAGCAATCTTCAAAACATGCTCAACAGTGGCCGACAAACAATCGAATAATCATCCCCAGCCTATGTTTTTTGAACTGATTTTGAATGTGCCTCCTGCAGAGGGACAAGCCCGACTTCAACCTGAGCGCACACTGAATGTTTGCATGTGGGGCGTGCGGCCCTCTCTTGGACGAACGGGCAACCTCGAAGATCGATCCCCATCCCGATGCCCGACAACCGTCTCTCTCAACGTCCTCCTTATATCCTCGCCCTCGTCCTCCTCGCTCTCGTCATCCTCTCCCTCGCCCTCTTTATCCTCGCCCTCGTCCTCTCCTCCTGATCCTCGCCCTCGTTCTCCTCCTCGTCCTCCTGGTCTTCCTCCTCGTCCTCGTCCTCCTCGTCTGATCCCCCTCGTTCTCCTCCTCCTCCTCCTGGTTCCCATGCTTCTCCTCCCTTTCCCCTCCTCATGGGCTGCAGGTTAACTTTGACACCTGCACCCCCCCCTGGCAGAGCTCAGCTGACTGAGTCACTCGAGGTCCTCGACCGACCAGCCGACTGGCCTCATCCTCGCCATTCTCCTCGCCCTCGTCCTCCCCGCTCTCGTCCTCCTCTCCCTCGCCCTCTCTATCCTCGCCCTCGCCCTCTTCCTCCTTCATATCCTCGCCCTCGTCCTCCTCTCGTCTCCTTCGTCCCTCCTCATCCTTGTCCTCTCGTGCTTCTCCTCCCCTTCCTCATATCCTCGTCTTGAGTCGGGCCTGTCGGGGGGATTTTCGATGAGAAATGAAACTACCCGAGAAATAACCAAAACATAGTCCAAAAATAGTCTGGGGACTATTTGTTGAGTATTTCTTTGACCTTTTTGAGGCATGTTGGGTGTATTTTTTAAATTTCTTCGTCGAACATCCCCCTGTAGGGGGACACGCCTAATCCTCGTCCTCCTCGTCCTCTCCCTCGCCCTCCGACTCCCCGCCGCCCCTTCCCGAGGCCTCGACCCTCCAAGGCTCGTCTTCTTCGTCCTCCTCATCCTTGTCCTCTCGTGCTTCTCCTCCCCTTCCTCACATCCTCGTCCTCCGCTGGGTAGTCGAAGCCAATCTGGCGCCAATCTGGCAGGCCCAATCTTGCAAACGGGGGCAATCTGACGAGGGAGCCAACGCGAATCCAGTCTGGCGAATAACCCCAATCCTCCAGTTTGGCCAGGCCAGATTGGCCCTTGGGGCCCAATCCAATCTCGCCCCTTCCCGAGGCCTCGACCCTCCAGGGCCCGCTGCCCTCCTCGAGCCTCTGCGGCCCTCCGTGCCTCCGGCCCCTCCCCCTCCTCGGCGCGGTCCCGGGAGGAGCGCGCTCCGCCACGTGCAGAGCAGCTGCTCGCAAATCGCACGGATCCGCCGCGGGGGATCTACGGTCAATGCCAGGGTAGTTTTGAATACATCGGATTTGTTTTTGGTGAGAATATCGGATTTCCAATACCAGATTAATGTATAAATAAATGTATGCATGAACTCATCGTTGCTTGTAATACTAAAGTCCTGCATTTTTGATACATGATCCGCACGCGGAGCATGTGTTTAAAAAGGCACTGTACGATCAGTTCCGTCGAAGCAGGCATGTGTTTTTCGGGCGTTTGCGAGCATTTGGACGCCCGAAATGGGTACCGAAAAATGGGTGCTATGCCCAACAGCAAATGTTGTCCCAAACCAACAGCGGCCGCTGTTGGGCAGGCGGCCTCCTGTCTCGAATGGACACAGGCCGCGGCGGCGTGGACAGCGAGCCCTGTTCAAACTGAACAAGATCCGCTGTTGGGCATTGTACCCATTCTTTCAGTACCCATTTCGTGCGTGCGGAGAGTAGGCACTTTGCGAGTAGTCGAGCGCGCCCGGTGAGTCACGTCCCCAGCGCGCGTGGGCTGAGCAAGGCCTCGGGCGCGGCCGAACCGACCCCTGGCATACCGTCCCCTTCCGTGACATGCTCCTCGCCTTTCAAGCTCGGGTCTCTAGCGACGGCTCGGGCGGATCAGGGCATCCATGGAATCATGTCGGGCGAGTCCCCCAACCCAGGGCAGCGTGTCGTAGCCCCATAGGGAGCCCCACCGAAGGCCCCAGTGGGGGTGCCCGCATGCGGTTTCCCCACCCAGGGCAGCGTTTCGTAGCCCCATCGGGAGCTCCACCGAAGGCCCCAGTGGAGGTGCCCGCATGCGGTTCCCCCACCCAGGGCAGCGCTTCGTAGCCCATGCGGATTTTGGACGAAAAGTGAAACATACTCAGAGCATGCACCAAGATAGAGGGACAGACTCGACTTAACCCTGGCACGCTCTCGCCGAGGCGCAACTGCTGCAAAACATCCCGAAGCTGGGGCGCCTCCCGGAAGCCGCGGGGCTGACCGAGGGCACTTGGGACCTCGGACCTCTGCACCTTGTGGACGACGCGGGCAGGTCCGTGAACCTACCAACCCTCCTCCTTCCTCCTCCCTTACGTGGGCCCCGGAAACGGCAGTGATGGCCTTGTTTTCCACCACCACCACCAGAAGTAGGAGTGGGAGGGGGTCCCCCTCTTCCTCCACCTCCTCCTCCTCCTCCTCCTCCTCCTCCTCCTCCTCTAATTACCTCCTCATCCTCCACCTCCTTCCCCCCTCAAACTTATGGTGGTGGTGGTGGAAAACAGGCCCAACAAGCAAGGCCGCTTTTTCACTGTTTCCGAAAAACAATCTCGTAAAAACGGAAGCGGCAACAAACATGCGACCGGAAACGGCCACAACAACGGCTCCGGGATTGAAACCGGAGCAGGGAGCGGGAACAACAATGGTGACGGAACTGGCAACAACAACGGCGTCGGAACCGGCAACAAAAAACAGGCAGAACGGAACCCGTAGAAAAACAATCGACCCTGTCGTTTCCAGGGCCCACTGGGCCTCCTCCTGCCTTCCCTCTCCTCCTCGTGAACAGCCTTGAGCAAGCACCGACCGTCCCCGCAATATCATAGGCCTATCACGGAATGTTCTTAGAACCCAAAAATGTTCTAACAACAGAAATCATGTTCTTAGAACATAAGCCCGATGTGTCCAAGCAAGACAGCCCCCACCAGAACTGTTCTGAGAACATTTCGTGCCAGACCGCAAAAGGTTCTTAGAACATTATGTAGTGGGCCTGTCGCGATTTTTTCCATGCGCGGTCCCCCGAAGTCTAGACCTATTCCTCAGGACCGGTTTTTCACTCTGAGTCGTTTTTTGACGGTCCCGGGGCCTGGCGAGGGCCCCCCGAGGCCGAAAGCTGAGAAAAAAACCTCCGTCCTCATTTTTGCTCGTGCGCTGGATCTCTGGGAGGCCACGACGCTTCGCCGCTGCTCGATCCGCCCCCGCGGCGGTGGGGCAGCGCTCCGGCGCGAGGGAGGCACCGCGCCGCGCCGCTGCGCGCCTCGTGGAGGTCCACGGCCCCCTCCCAGCGGCCGCTGCCGCACCACCGCGACCACACGGACTCCGCGCAGTGGCCTCGGCCGCCGCCGCGTCCGTCGCAGTCGGCCGCCGTCGTCGTCGTCGTCGTCGTCGTCGTCGTCGGCGGCGGCGGCGGCGGCGGCGTCGTTGTCGTCTGCGTCGTCGGCGTCGGCGTCCTCGTCGTCGGCGGTTTGCCTGTTTGCATGCTCAACATCCTCCGCTTTCGGAGCAGACTCTGAGGATGTCTCGGGCGAGGCGCTTGTTTTCGCACCCCATGGGGGCCCAGATTTCGAGGATGTCTCGAGCGGTTTGCCTGTTTTGCTGGCCAGACTCGTGGGCACGGATCCTCCCCATTTAAACAACAAGAGGCTCTAGCAGGCTCCAGGAGACCCCAGGAGGCCTTAGGAGGCCTTAGGAGGCCTCAAGAAGCCCCAGGAGGCCACAGGAACCCCCACGAGGCCCCAGGAGGCCCCAAGAGAGGCTCCAGGAGGCACAAGGAATCCCCAGGAAGCCTCAGCAGGCTCCAAGATGCTCCAGGAGGCCCCAGGACGCACCATGAGGCCCCAGGAGGCCCGAGGATGCCTCAGGAGGCCGCAAGAAACGCCGGGAGGCACCAGGAGGCCTCAGAAGGCCCCAGGAGGCCCCAGGAGGCCCTAGGAGCAGGAGGCCTTCAGAAGGCCACAGGAATGGCTCCAATCCCGGGTGTTTTACGTATGTTCCTATACATAGGGCTTCGCCTGGGGCCCCACTCCTTCGTGTTTGTTTCTTATGTTCCTATAGATTCGGCCTCACCCGGGGCACGAATCCTTTGTGTTTGTACGTGTGTTCCCCTGTGGCTCCCGTTCTAAGTGCTTTACGTATGTTCCTACAGACTGGGCCCCTCCTGGGGCACGAGTCCCCCCCGAGTAGGCCTCAGGAGGCTCTGGTAGGCACCAGGAGGCCCCACGACGCCACACGAGGACCCAGGAGGCCCCAGGAGGCCACAGGAACCCGCAAGAGGCCCCAGGAGGCCCCAAGAGGCTCCAGGAGGCCCCAGGACGACCTAGGAGACCCTAGGAGGCTCCAGGCTCACGCGCATGGACTCACTCGTACTACTGAGACTCATTCACTTCTCCAAGTCATTCACAGCTGGATATCAATACTCGAGCTCGTTTATACTCGAAGTCGCTTGCGCCTCGACGCTCACGGCGGAAAGGTCCATGCAAAGAGATGCACATAATGATGTTTGCTGGAATAGGCACGCCGGGCAAGGGTTAGGTCGGGCCTGTCCTCCTACAGGCGGATTTTCGGCGAACAGAAATAATCACACAATAATCAAAACTATACACTAAATCATCAAAACATCGTCCCTAGAATCTGTTTGACTGTTTTTGAATTTTCCTCCCGTAGAGGGTATGCCCGACTGAAGGCAAGGGGACAGAGGTTGGGGAGGAGAGGGCGCGCTATGCGGAAGGAGGAAGACGATGGCTTCTGAGGCAACCGTGGTCGCCGCGCCAAGCTTCTGCGCTCAGTTGTCGTCGGCAGAACTGCTGCCGAGATACCGGGAGTCCATGAAAATGGAGAACCCCATGTGACCAAGACCTCCCACGTCGGGTTGCCGATCCCGGGCGAGGTGGATCTTTGTAGTTGCCGGTGTCCTCCGCGAACAGAGAGGCGCAGCAAGAGGGGAACTGTTCCCGTATGTTGCCCACCTCACGACCCCCACGCTTCTCGACGATCGGGAGGTTCTCAAGGGGCCCTGGGACGCAAACATAAATACACAAAAATAACCAGATTCCTCATATTTCCAAACATTTTCTGGGTTTCTTTCTTCCCCCACTTCTAATACTTTCCCATCTTTTCCTGGGAGTCGACGATTAATTGTGTCTGTGTTTTTTTTTGCCTCCTGAGGTTCACCTCGCTGCAGGGCCCACATGGCAGCGGGCAGCAGAGGCCGCACTGGCAACAGTCGCCTGCTGCCTTCACCACTGTGTTGTCGTGTGCTTCCCGGGTGGTGCAGGTCAGGTCGCAGCACGCCCACGGGTCGGCACTTGAGCCAATCCGGCGGCCTGTTGAAGAAGCCTTGCCCTCGACCCTGGAACGATTGAAACAGCGGCACGTCCAAGTCCAATCGCGCTCGAGATCAAAGCCTTCTCGATCCTGCCGTCTCTTGCGTACGGCTACAGCTACGGCTACTGCTACGGCTCCGCACGCGTGGCGCCATGAAGGCGCGGCGGAGGGGGCACCGAGGCGCCTGCTAAGGTACACGCGTGTGAAACAATGCGAAATACTGCATGGGAGGAAAATGAGGAGGTGGAGGGGAGGACATGGAATATCACTGCTGAACGTACATGTCCTGGAGGTCGTCCCACACCAGCGTGGTAGCGACACGGGGCCAATCCACATGCCCACAACAATCCATGACCAACTTACGTAAATCATTTGTCAATCGATTTTTTTGGGCGCCCAGGCCGTCTATGAGGTGATCCTTCTGGGTCGTTGTCGGGTCTCCACCATAATATGTTCCTTTCCCAATTCCCAGTTGGTCCATAGACGACTTTCCATAGACGACTTGCGTACACTGTGCTCAAGTGCCAGGGTGTGCAGTCCAGGAAGCAAGACTTCAACTGCCTCGTGCAAAGGTGGGCTTCCTCCGCCGCGTTGAAAGCTTTCGCTTTACCAGGTGCGTACGCAGTGCATCTTTAGGTCGGCCGTGTCCTCCTGCAGGCGGATCTTGAAGGATAACTTCAAAAGAGTCAAACAAATGTCAAACATAGTCAGAAGATCGTCCCCTGACTATTTCTTGACTGTTCTCGAATCTTCCTCCTGTAGAGGGACGTGCCCGGCTTAAGTGTATCTAGACGGGCGCGTTCCACTGCTTGCAAAGTAACTGCTCGCAAAGGGCCTGGATGCGCCGAGGGGGATCCACGATACGTCACATCAAGGCGGGCCTGTGCTTTTCGGCCGTTTGCGAGTAGGCACTCTGCGAGTAGCGGAACGTGCTCGGTGTGCATCTGTTTCGGGTCGGGCGAAAGGGGGGGATAGCAAAGGGGGGGTTTGAGAATCAGCTCACGTAGCTGATTTTCCCGGCGCCTCCCGGCGCCGGGAGGCGGCTATGTATCGAGAAATGGGCCCCTCGGTGGGGCCGAAACCAGCTGCATGCAGCAGATTTTGTACCCCCCCCTTTCCCAATCCCCCCCTTTCGCCCGGCCCGAGCCTCGGGCCCCGAAGCGGCGGGCGCAGGCTAAACCAGGCTAGGATCGGGATGAATCGCTCCAGAGCGTTCCGGAGCGGCCGCGGCGCCCAATACATCCTCCAAACCCGCCGATTCTCTAGGGGGAAAACAAACCTACCTCGCTTTTGACCACCCTCGCTTCCAAGAGATACCAAGCGATGCCAAACTACGGCCTGTACTGGTCCGGCCGCTTGGTGAGGAGGAGCGTGGTATGACTTGGTTTTGCCTGGAAACGAAAGCGGGGTAGGTAATTCACGCTCTGATTCTCAGAGATTTCGAGTGATCCCGATCCGATTTTGTCCCGATCTTCGCGCCGCTTGACAGGCCCGGGCAGGCGCGCCCGCGCCTCGGCCTCCGGGCCGAGCGGAACCGGCGCAGGCAGGCCGTGGGCGCCTGCCGTGGAGCGCTCGGGGAGGCGCAAGACTCGGGCTACGGGGGGCTCGGGTAGGAGGGGGAGGGAGGAGGAGGGAGGAGGGAGGAGGGAGGAGGAGGAGGAGGGAGGGAGGAGGAGGAGGAGGAGGCTAGACCAAACCCAAAAGGTCACGCAAAGAATTCACGCGCGGGACCCCTCAGGATCCCTCCCTGAGCGTAGGCTGAGACTGGGTTTAACACCAGCCTCCGCCCACGCCGACCTTGTAGACGACGTCCCACAAGGCAATGTCGGCCTCCGCGACGGCCCCGAAGGAGGAGGAGGAGGAGGAGGAGGAGGAGAAGGTAGTCCTCTTCCTCCCAAATACGTGCCAAGAACTTGTCCCGGTCCTATGCCAGGAGCTTGTCCGGGTACTCGGGTTGGCCCGACGGGGGCCATCATGAAGATGACGAGACCCAATCTGAAGTTTGACGTGGGCTCCCGCTGCAAATGTCCCGCGAAAACGGGACCGTCAAAATCCAGTGCGCGCTCGTCAAAAAAAAACGGCAAACCCGAGTCCCAGATAAATCGAGTCTTACGTTCCCCCTAAGCGTGCTGCGCCGTGGAACCGCAGCAGCTCCTGCCCTTGCCCGCGCCCTTGCCCTTGCCCCTTCTCGACGGGAGGGCCTGCGCTGGGGCCTCGGACGTGACACTCTGTCTGGGAGAAGCATGCGCCTCAGGGGCCTCGGGCATGATTCGATTGTCATCAATGTCATGCAGCTCGCTCAGCCGATGATGCCGGCAACTGTTTTATGATGCCGGCAACTGTTTTAGAACGTGGAAACGGCGAGGTGCTCGGCCTGCCGCGAGGCCTGTTCCATACCGTCTTTATCGTTATGGCTTGATCCAAATGCGATGGACAATGCAACAGTTGGGGACTGGCGTAAAAACTATGAGCGACGCTAAGGTGATCGTCACCATCACCATAATCATGCCCATGGTTATGATCATTATCATCATCAATCATCAACGTCGTCGTCATCATCAAAAATATCATCATCAGCATCATCATACTGATAATCAGCATCATCATCATCAACATCACCACCATCCTCCATCATCGTCACCACCACCATCATCATAACCACCAACAAAACAATAAGTATTATCATTATCACCATTATCATTATCGGCATCATATGCATCATCATATGCATCATCATAATGATAACAATAATGATAATCATTACCATAATCATAATCATAATCATAATCATCATCAACATCATCATCATCATCATCATCAGCATCAGCATCATCATCATCATCATCATCATCATCATCATCATCATCATCATCATCAACATCTTCATCATCATTGTCATCATGCCGCGCCGCGGCATCTTACACGGAACGGGACAACCACACATTGGGCTAACACACGTCCTGAGGATCACCAACGAGACACTTCGGAGGCCTCGGCACTGCCCGTCGCCGCGGCCCCCGCCCTCGTTGTCGTCGTCGTTGTCGGCGGCGTTCTCGTCGTCTGCGTCGTCGTCGATGCCCTCGCCCTCGTCGTCGATGTCCTCCTCGTCATCGTCGGCGTCGTCGGCGTCCTCGTCGTCGTCGTCGTCGCCGTCGTCGTCGTCATCGTCGCCCTCCTCGTCGTCGCCGTCGCCGTCGCCGTCGCCGTCGCCGTCGCCGTCGCCGTCGACGCCGCCGTCGCCGTCGTCCTTGTCGTCATCGTCGTCGTCGTCGTCGTCGTTGTCGTCCTCCTCCTCGTCGTCGTCGCCGTTGTGCGCTGTCGCCCTGTCGTCGTCGAGGCCGTCGTCGTCGGCCTCGTCGCCGGCGGAGCTGAGGCCTCGGCACTGCCCCTCGCCGCGGCCTCCGCGGGCGGGCCCCCTGCTGGCGCTCGGCGCCGCTCCCGCGCACGCGCCCGGGGGGCCCGCGCGGGGCTCGCCGGAGGATCTGCACCACGCGTCCGGCACGCGCCTCGCCTGGCGCGTGGTGGCGCGCCTACAGGGGGAGCAGGAAGAGGAGGAGGAGGAGGAGGAGGAGGAGGAGGAGGAGGGAGGAGGAGGAGGAGGAGGAGGAGGAGGAGGAGGAGGAGGAGGAGGAGGTGGCGCGAGGTTCGGATTACAGGGCAGGTCTTGATACATGGGATCTTTACAAACATAGGAGCTTTAATCCATGATTAATGTATGAATAAGTGTGTGCGTGAACTCATCCCTGTTTTTAGTCCTGAATCCCTGCATTTTTGATACATGGTCCGCTCGCGGAGCATGTATTAAAAACGGAACTGTAGGTCGGGCCTGCCCCCCTACAGGGGACTTTCCACGAAACATTTAAAATACTCAAAAAATGCGCCCAAACGGTAAAGGAATACTAAACAAATCGTCCCCAGACCATTTTTTGACCATTTTGAATATATTCCTCCGGTAGAGGGACAGGCCCGACTTCAGGTTAGGAAGCGGGTGCTGCGTGAGAATCCTCAGGCCTCTAACGTGTGTGGACGTTTTCTTAGTCGGCGTTTCGACAGTGGGAGCGAAGGGGGTGGGGACGGGGGGATGTCTGGCTCAGGACCTCTGCGTAATGCGACTGTTTGGAACAGTGCGTCCTATGGTGAAGACGCCACCTGCTTGAAACAGGCGCCAAAAACAGCCAAGATCACTCCATGGGGGAGAGGGGGGAGGGGTTGCGAGGGCCCGCGCCGATCGGCAAAACAATGATTCAGAAAATCATCACTATCGAAAGAATCAAGACGGAGCTGTTTCGGCATTTTCGGCCTCTGGGGGCCCTCGCTGGGCCTTGGGACCGACACGAAGCGACTCAGGATGAAACAACGTCGTTTCCAGGGCGGGGATCGTGACATCTGGTCTCTGGGTGACACATCTGGGCGCTCGGTATTCAGAAAGACATCAGGGTAAAACGTCTGTTGAAACATCTGGTAAGACATCTGGTCTCTGGGCAAGGCCCTAAGGTCTCTAAGAAACTCTGGGGAGAAAACCAACCTGACTTCTGGTTGCTGGGTGAGAACCAGATTTTTCTTGAGAATTCTCGAGCAGCACGTTCGGAGGTAACTCCTGGGAGGTCTTTGTGGGAACGATTGAAAGCGATCAAGCTAGATTCAAAACTTTTGTGGCGGATTAGCCCAGAATGGGGCCTGGAACTTAGGCCAAATAAAACGGGATTCCATTGGATGAATCGGGATTAAATTGAAGTGAACGGGAGCATGCCAGATTAAGCCAATTTTCGATCGCTGGTAAGCCAGCGCCGATACTGACTTCAACCTTCCAATGATTAGTTGCATCGTTTGCGCCGCGATGTGTTGAGAAGCGGAAATTTCTTGATAATCCTGGGCCTGGGAATCCATACTCAAACTGACGGGCGTCCAGCACGTGCTTGGCCTGCGCCGCGGCGTCTGGGGTGGGAGGTTACACCACGGGCGAGTACAGTCAAAACGTGTACTGAGGACGGGTGGTAAGGACGCAAGACCCTTGGAGGTCGACGATCGTTTTCTTGTGGGGCGGCTGGCGACTCGTGAAAACGGCAAAGGACGGGCCGCAGAGGCAAGGACACAAGGGCACCCTAGATGAAGGCGCGCGTCCTTGCTAGGCGCGCTGACTGTACAGCTGGGCTTTGAGGGCAACTGTCGTCGGCAACCTCTGCGTGCCGCTACCCGCCGCCATCGCGCAGTCCCCCTGCTTGCCGACGCGCGCCTTCACGCAGAACGCGTGTTCGTTGCTGCGGGTTTCGATTCCGTACCGCTACAATCGGACCTGGGGACAAAGTAACACCTTGCAAGGACATGAGACCCTCCGCCGGCCCAAACTGCAGAACAGTCGAGGGTGCCCGTCCCCAGAATGCACAAGAACACCCAACAAACACGACGAACATTCCCCTAGGGCTCCCAACTTCGCGCTTCGCGCTGCGCGAAGCGCGAATAACTTCGCGCTCTCGCGCCGCCCTCCCAAAGGGAGAATAGGAGGACGAGGAGGAGGGGGAGAAGGAACGAGGACCGCGAAGCGCGAAGCGCGAATAACTTCGCGCCCTCGAGGGAGCCCGTAATTCCCTAGAGTACCGTCCCCGAACGGACCTCCATCTTCCACCTCGGTCCGACCGTGCCGCTGAATCCAAGGTGTTCGTCGCCTCCTCGCAAGACGAGGGGAGATTACCCCCAGGAAACATTTCTGGCACTGCTGGGCTCTTGCTCACTCCTCTCGCCCGAATGATCGGATGGTGGGGCCTGATTACGGCTGTTGCCCGATTGGTGGCCGCCCCGTGCGCGGAGCAGGCCCTCTTCCGCCGAGGCCCTCTTCCAGTGGCTCTCCTCCGCCCATTTTTAGGTCGGGCACACCCCCCTACAGGCGGATTTTGGACGACAAATTTGAAAGACCCTAAACATGCCCCAACGTTATCAGAACAAATGCTAAAACAATCGTCCCCTCACTATTTTTTGACTATGTTTGAATATTCCTCCTGTGAAGGGACACGCCCGACTTCATTCCAGTGGCCCTCTTCCGCCCACTCTCTCTTCGTCCGAGGCCCTCGTCCGCCCGGCCCTCTTCCGCCGAGGCCCTCCTCCTCCGAAGCCCTCTTCCGCCGAGGCCCCCTTCCGCCCTGCCCTTCTCCACCGCCGCCACCTGTCGAGCGGGGGCTCTCTAGCCTCCCGACGCGGCGGAACCGGGCGGCGGAAGCGAGCGTCGGCGTAGCCGGGTCGGCGAAACTGGGCCTCGGCGGCAGCGGGCGGTCGGGCAGTGCACTTTCCGCTCGCTTCCACCTGGCGGTCCTCGTCGGGTGGTCACGCCATCGCGGGCGGTTGCCGCGAAGGGCAGTGTTACCTCCCAGTGGGCAGCCTGTGAGCCGTTGCCCACTCCTGCTCCGTGGAGCGGAGTCGTCGGCCACTCCTCTGTGGGCTGGAGCCTCGCCTTCAGGGCCTTGTCGGCCAGGTTCATCGCGAAGCGTTGCCCCCAGAGGTGGAGGAGGAGGAGGCAGAGGAGCCAAGCTCCTCTATCCAGAATGACACCAAGCCGGCCAGGGATGGCTGGCCTCAAGAGGCTCCCCGAGTAGTCCCGGCTGGCCTCAACGGGCCCACCGAGCACATAATCTGAGGCGCTCTCAACACCCTGGCGCCGCCTCTGGCGGCGCCCCTGGGGGCTCTGCGCCCCAGTGTTGAGGTGTTGGAACCGCCCCGAACGATACTCGGGGTGACAGTTGAGGCCAGTCGGGATTACTCAAGGGCCATGACCAGGCCATCCGGGACAATCTAGCTGGCTGGGGAACTGCACCCAAAGACCCGATGCCTTGATTCCTTCAATGCGGGCCCTCCAGAAGTCTCGACTCACTCCCCAGGACAGGCTCTTCATCCTGAATCGCTTCTTGATGGCCCCCAGGAACCGCCGAGGGCCCCTGGAGGCAGCAAACTGTGGAACTGAGCATCGTCTAACCGACCCCTTTCCACATGAGCGTGGCCTAGGCCGATTTACCCCTCTTAGATAGAAGATATCGGCTGTTACGTTCGGGTCTCGAGGGGTATATCCCCAACCGGGGTGGTGAGATGGCGTGGGTCTGTATGGGGATGGGGATGGGGATAGGAGTCGCTGAATAGAGGAAGGAACAACGACATAAACAAAAACTTTTGGAGGTCCGCGCGGAGTTCTTGGACCTGAGCTGGCGGAGTGCGCCAGGTTTAGGTCGGGCGTGTCACCCCTACAGGCAGATTTTGGAAGACAAAGAAAAATACCTCATAGTCGAAACATCGTCCACTGACTATTTCTTGGCTATTGTTGAATATTCCTCCTGTAGAGGGACACGCCTGACTTGACGCCAGGGGCGGCGCCGGAGGCGCGCCGCCAGGGGAGTGAGCCCGGAGCCGATCCAGGGAAGCCGCGCGGAGCGCCACCAGCTTCTGCGTATGCTGCTGTTTCTTCTTCGATGCATTTGGGCGCCCGAGTGATCCGGGGTAACTCGGGCCCGGGGTAACTCGGGTTTGGATTGCCAGAAAACGAACCCGAGTTAGCCCTGACCCGAATTTTAGCCCTGATGAATTGGGGCTCTGGGCGCCCGAGTTATCCGCAGTGACTCGGGCCCTGGGTAACTGGGCTTTGGATTCCCGAAAAAAACAACCCGAGTTAGCCCTGTGATTCGGAGCTCTGATGCATGGGGATGGGGAGGGGGATAGCTGAAGGGGCGCAGGGACACACAAATAGATACACACAAATAACACGATTCCCTATATTTTCCTATATTTCCTGGGTTTCTGTCTTCCCCCCCAATTCCCATATTTTCCCAGGAGTCGACGATTAATTGTGTCTGTGTGTGTTCTTTCCCCTCCTGGATAGCGCCACGTGCCGAGCCATGGCTCCAGAGGGGTGCCATGCGACGGCCAAGTGCCGGCGGAAATCGGCAGCCGAGTCGGGAGAAGTCGAATCGGCAGACATGGTCGGGCTGGTAGGCCTCCAGAAATTAAGAAATCGGAGTCCAAATCCGAAGTCGAATCGTAATCAGAAGCCATTGAAATCGGATCGAATCGGAGGAACCGAAACGAGCCCTGGAAGGGGGGGGGTTCTCAAGAGCTTCACTGGGTTCAGGGTCGCGTGCACGATACTAGGCCGGGAGGGGTCTTCCTCCTCCTCCTCCTCCTCCTCCTCCTCCTCCTTCTCCTCCTCCTCCTCGTCCTCCTCGTCGTCCTCCTCGTCGTCGTCGTCGTCGTCCTCGTCGTCGTCGTCCTCCTCCTACTCCTCCTCCTCCTCTTCCTCCTCCATTCTCCTGCTCCTGCTCCTCCTCCTGCTCCTCCTCCTCCTGCTCCTGCTCCTCCTCCTCCTGCTCCTCCTGATCCTTTCCCGCCTCCGCCTCCTCCTCCTCTCCTCCTCCTCCTCCTCCTCCTCCTCCTCGGACTCCTCCTCCTCCTCCCTCCCTCCCTCCCTCCTCCCTCCCTCCCTCCCTCCCTCCCTCCCTCCTCCGCCTTCCTCCTCCTCCTCTCCTCCTGCTCCCTCCT